GTTTGGTTTAGCTTGGTTATTAGGATAGACCGGTTTACTTGTACATATATATATCGTGTATAGTACGATTGTAAAGTTAAGCTTTGATTCAATAATAAAAATACTTTTCACAATCATCTTCTTCCTCTAGCTCGTGATCTCTCTCTCTTTGAGTCAAGATCCGATCATCAGAATCTGGAGTTAATATGAACAGTTGCATTTGAAGTGGTAAGAGGCTGCTGTGTTCCATCTTCCCTTTTTTCATCTGATTATGCATCTGCATATGTGCAACTTGAGCCAGAAATAGGCCGGAATCCGGAGTCCCTTTTGGTTTGAAGCTTCTTGGTTGAGGCATATCAGCTTCAAGGAGTTACTCTTGGTCTCGTGGAGTGGGGATATGAAAACGCCGGAGGCTCTGCTTTTGTTAATAAAATACTTAGTAAATGGAATAGGCAAATATTTGGAGATGTTCAGCAACCAGAAGAAAAAGTGGTGAAGGATATTAAGAAGATTCAAGAGGAGTTAGAGTCTCATCAAACAAATGATCTCTTGACGTGGGAGGAAATTTTATTAAAGGAGTTTGATGTTGTTGTTGAGCAAGAGAAAGTGCTCTGGTATCAGAAATCTAGAGAGAAGTGGATAGTACTAGTGGATCGGAATACACAATACTAGCACACATGTTATTATAAGGAGTAGACGGAACATGATTGAAATGTTAAAAGATGATGATGGTAGATGGATATCACAACCAAAAGAGCTGGAAGAATTAGCTATCACATATTACAAGAGATTGCATTCTATGGAAGATCTTGAGATGGAAGTAGATACTTTAACACCTGGCCTAACTAGGGAAGAGTTATTGGAGTTAAACAAGTGTTTACTGCACATGAAGTAGAAGCTTTAATCTGATCTATGGAGAAGTAGAAAGCACCTGGACCAGATCGTTACCAACCAGTATTTTATCACGAGTCATGGAACGTGGTAGGAGAGTCTGTAACTCGAATCGTGCTGGAGTTCTTTGCCTCTGGTAATCTACCAGAAGGGACGAATGATGCGATTGTCATTCTTCTGACAAAAGTGTTGAAAACGGATAAGATACTGCCGTTTCGGCCAATAAGCTTGTCTAATGTCTTGTTAAAAATGATAACCAAAGTTTTTGGTGCTGCGTCTGGAAAAAAAATCATGCTGAAACTTATTGGACCGTCTCAAGCAAGTTTCATTTCCGGAAGGTTAAGTATATATAACATTGTAGTGGTTCAGGAGGTGATGCACTCAATGAGAAGAATGAAAGGGAGAAAGGGTTGGATGTTACTAAAGTTGGATCTTGAAAAGGCATATGATCGAATCAGGTGGGACTTTTTAAAGGATACTCTACAGGCAACTAAGCTTCCAAAGATGTGGATTAGATGGATTATGAAGTGTGTCGTTGATCCAACAATGAGTCTGTTGCGGAATGGTGAGAAGACAGAAGCTTTTAAACCTCAAGGGGGTATGAGGCAAGGTAATCTGTTGTCACCATATCTGTTGTCAAGTTTGGAGAGATTGTGTCATCAAATTGAGTTATCCATTGCCGTGAAAGATTAAAAACCAATTAGCCTATCCTGGGCATGTCCTAAGTTCTCACATGTTTGCTTTGCAGATGATCTAATACTCTTCGCCAAAACAGCTTGAAAGGTTTTGTGTGGCCTCGGGACAGAAAGTAAGTTTAGAGAAATCAAAAATCGTTTTATTGGGTAAAGTTAGTCGAGAATTATCAACCTTGATAAGCAATGAAAGTAGGATCAAACCGACTAGAGAGATGGGGAAGTACCTGGGTATGCCCATCTTGCAGAAGAGGATAAGCAAGGAACATTTGGCGAGGTATTGGAGAAAGTTTCATCTCAGTTTTCTGGTTGGAAGGGATGTTTCTGAAGTCTTTCAGGAAGGATCACACTAATTAAGTCAATACTCACATCGATCATGGTTCATGCCATGAGCACAATTTCTCTACTGAAGTTAACACTAAAGAAACTAGATAAAATCTCGAGGTCATTCATATGGGGCAGTACCGTAGAACAGAGGAAGCAACATCTTATATCCTGGAATAAATTATGCTTACCAAAAGAAGAAGGAGGGGGGGGGTCAGGGACCCGTTTGGATAAGGATATGAACAAAGCTTAGCTAAGTTGGCTGACGATTGGTTAATGATCAAAACGTCTTATGAGCAAGGGTGTTGTGAAGCAAGTATCATATGAAAAAAGTACATGATGTCATGTGGACTATTGTGAAAAGTAACTGGTCCTCCACATGTAGGAGTTTGATGTTGGGTATCTGAGAGGTAGTGATTCCACGGATGAGCTGGGTGATTGGAGATGGGCGTCAAATCCGTTTTTGGCAAGAAAAATGGCTATTGAATGAGCCACTCTCGGCACTGGCAACAAAAAAAATACCAGCACGGTTTAGAGAGGCCAGTGTAAGAGATTTTTTGGAGGAATGGTACTGGATGGCTAATGCAAACACTAAGTTCATATCTCCCATTAAATAGTCGTTTACAACTAGCGTATGTGGTTTTAGATGATGTTTCAGAGGCTAAAGATAGGATATCATGGGGAGAAAGCCAGGATAGAGGTTTCACTATGAAATCAGCATATGTCTATACGTACCGAGATAGTCATAAAGAAATTTTATAATCGGGCATGGAGAGTGGTGACCTCGGAGAGGGTAAGTGTATTCTTGTGGCTAGTTGTGAACCAAGCCATTATAACAAATATGGAAAGGCAACGTCGACACTTGAGTGACACATGCATCTGTCAAGTCTGTAAATTTGGGAATGAGTCTAATCTCCATGTCCTCCGGAATCGTGCTACCACAGCGGGAATCTGGAATCGACTTGTATCTCCGGGTAGACAAAGATTTTTCTTTGTGTTGATATAACATGATTTTATGGGTTTTTGACCATGATATAAGTCTTGTTTATAGAGTCTTTTGGTATTTTTTTAGTCTTTTCGAGTCTTTGCAGGTCTAGGTACGTTTGGAGCATAATTGTGGATTTTGGAGCCTTTTGGAGTTATGTTGAAGCTGATGCTGAAAAGACCAAGTCGGAGAGCATTCTGGAGCAGGGTGTCGATCGACACCACTCCTTGGTGTCGATCGACACCAATCGTGGAATCGTAAAGGAGCCTTAAAAACTCTTTGAAGAATTGCAACCTGGCCTAGAAGTTTCCTATTATATGCAAACTTGCCCCAATCGTGTTTAGAGATGTATTTAGGTTTTGAGAGCCATTGTTAGGATATTATCTTGTTTTCATTGAGACTTAGAGAGAGATTAGATTCAGAGCTTTTGGAGAGACAAATCCGTACTCTGTTAGAGAAGAATTTTGAACCCCTTTTGTCTTTTACTTTATCTTTTAATGCAAAATTCTTCAGTCATGATTTGTGTTTCAATTTCTATGTCTGAGTAATTTGCTAGTTAGGTTTTGGATTGTTCAAAGGTTGATAATGAATTGTTATAACTGCAATACTGTTAGGATAAATCTTTTGGTTCTTTATCTAGATTGTTTTAACACTGATTTTGAGATTGATCACCTAGAAATCAGATCTTATGTTGTTTAATAGATGTGGAAACATTGTTAATCACCAGAACTATGTTAGATGAGCAATTACTAATTGCAAAGGAATTTGGATTAGTGATTTTGTGAACATATCGAACTTGAACTTTAATGCTTGTTTAGCTTGTTAGAATTTGCAAAGAAATTTGGAATTCTAGAATTTGATCATAGATAATCTCTGCGACAGAAGTAGATTGGTTTTACATTCGTGTTTTCGAGTTCTAGAACGGTTTTAACAAATAATCTTTTCAGTCTGTAGTCTGTGATTTATGTCAACCTGTGAATTTTTCATTGCCTAGCACTTCATCTCATTGATTTTAAAAACCCATAATCCGCCATGCTCTTGATACTTTTAATTGCCATTTCGTTTTACTTTTGTTATTGATTGTTTAGCTACATTTGAACCTAAAGTCTGTTGTGTAATATTTTTAAGTCTTTGTGGATTCAACCCCTAAGTACTACAGTGATTTTTTAATTTGAGAGAGTAGTTCTAGGGATAATTTGAGCATATCATACGTAATCTCTGCTTGAATGGTTTTATGTATGAATGGATGACGTGACAGGACAAGATAGTACCTAGTTGACTTTATTCACAATGGTAGTATGGTAGAGCTGAAAATGGAGATATGGGTATGTTTTCGGTGTCACAGGGAAATACCGAGACAAAGTGAGATTTGTAAAAGAACTAGCACAGGAAGTATTGCTGGCACACTCAAAGATGAAAAGGAATTCAAGTGTGGTGGCAAGAGTGGAGAGACCTATATCATGTAATCGGCCAATAGACGGATGGGTGAACCTCAATACTAATGGAACTTCATGGGGTAACCGTAGGTTTACAACAGCGGATGGGGTTTTGCATAATGATGTCGAGGCTTGATGTGAAGGTTTATATATTGCATGGAAGTGTCGGATTACTTAATTAGAACTGAAGGTGGACTCAGAAATTATGGTTGGTTTAGATTAATGATTCACATTCTTCATCATTCCTAATATACTTATACTCTGACTTTATATCTTAAAACTGGTTAGTCAAATTTTCTCATGCATAAAAAAAACTAATTATCTAACAGATTAACTAACTATGTGGTTTTATTTATTTATTTGATTTCACACCGAATAGTGTTACTTGAATTATGTCAGACGATGCAAAGTAAGAGACTTCCGTCTCCAGCAGTTAACCGAAAAAAATGTCACATCGACTGACAGCTGAACAATAGTCAAAGTCGTTTGACTACCGACTTTAATCATGACAGCTGAAATTCTATTGATAGCTTCAAGATCGTACACAACGTATTTTACTTTTACTAATTTATTTATTTCTAGGATAATTATAAATTCCTTATTGATTAGGATTAGGAGACATGAACCTACTCCTCGGTAGGTATAAAGGGTGTTCTATGGCTTTATTAAGAACACCTTAAATATTGAATCTTGCGTTGATTCTTCCTCAGTTTTTTTTTCCGATCTTCATAATATATTTTTCTCTAGGACTTATTGTTATATAAAGATAATGGCTTCATTGATGCTTACCGATTGTTCCTCCTCCACGACACGTCTCATCCCTACGAACCGCACTAACGGTGCTTTCCTCCCCCGCCGGTGCATCGGCCAACTTCGCTTATCGACCACTGCGTCTAGCCGTGCAGGCTGCACTCTCTCCATTAGCTCCTCTTCTTCCCCCTCTCCTGCTAAGGTAATTGATGGAAAGGCCGAGGCGAAAAAGATCACAGATCAGATCACAATCGACGTTTCAAGAATGAAAGAGTCGATCGGTGTAGTTCCGGGATTAGCTGTAATCCTTGTTGGTGACAGAAAAGACTCTGAAACTTATGTGACGAACAAGAAGTTAGCTTGTAAATCTGTTGGAATCAAATCATTAGAAGTTCTTCTACCTGAAGATTCCTCAGAAGAAGAGGTGTTGAAATATGTTGCAGCCTTCAATGATGATCATTCTGTCCATGGAATCCTTGTTCAGTTGCCTCTACCATCGGTATTTTTCCCTATACTAAGTCTACCTTGATCATATTCATTACTAGAAAACTGACTGCGAGTCAGTGATTTACACCATAATTTTCGTCAGATTTTTGTTTTATTTATCATTCTGCGCTTATTACTGTACTCTTGTTTTCAAACGTGTAAAGCTGAAAAAATACGAAAATTCATGTTTTGAAAAACTGATTCCGTTTTTTTTACTATTCATCAAGTTTTCATGTTTTCCAGTTTAAAAGTGATTATGTTATATACAACTAGTTTATTAGAAATATGACTAAGAATAAAAAAAAATATGATTAATCTATTGAAAATTGGTTTTCCGCAATTAATTTTCAATTATTTATCTATATATCTGATATACCAATCAGTTCTAAATTTACGTTCCTCAAAACAAATTTCATATCTTGATAATATCAATACCTATTTGTGAATTTACAGTATAGTATTACGATATGTTATTATGTATATGCAGCATATGAATGAACAGAAGATATTGAATGCGGTTAGTATAGAGAAAGACGTTGATGGATTTCACCCCCTAAATATCGGACGTCTCGCCATGAAAGGAGGAGAGCCCTTATTTGTTCCGTGTACACCAAAAGGATTCATCGAGCTATTGCACAGATACAACATCGAGATCGAAGGAAAACGAGTTGTTGTTATCGGAAGGAGTAACATTGTTGGTATGCCAGCTGCTCTGCTACTGCTGGTAATGATGATATATTTCTTGAAAGATGCCCTTTTTCATCTCTTAGTTACTTACATGCATCTTTGGTCTTTTATCGACGTGTTTTGTAAATGTAGAAGGAGAATGCCACCGTTAGTGTTATTCATTCAAAAACCAAGAACCCTGAAGAAATCACAAGAGAAGCTGATATCATAATCTCAGCTGCTGGCCAACCAACCATGGTCAGAGGAAGCTGGATTAAACCGGGCGCAGTCGTCATCGATGTTGGGACTACACAAGTTGAGGTTCGTGGAAGATTTTGACACATGATAATGGCCTATTTCGGATATATAATGAATTTAATTGAATTTGCAGGATTTAAGTGCTCGCAGTGGTTATCGATTAGTTGGAGACGTTTGCTATGAGGAGGCTTGCAAAGTAGCATCAGTCATCACGCCTGTTCCTGGTGGTGTAGGACCAATGACCATAGCCATGCTTCTATCCAACACTTTAACTTCAGCTAAGAGGATTCACAACTTCGAGTGACCTTTAAACGGATTTTGGGATAACCAAAATCTTACATTGGTTTTTGAAGCCAATGGTTAAACAGTTTGCGTTTGTGTTTTTTGGTTTATTTAATCCAAGCATTTAGTTTTATGTGAAGCAAGGAAGTAAAAAGTCTTGACTTTTGTAACCGTAGAGAAACAATTTTTAGTTGAGATTTTTATAAACGAGGCGTTAGTAGAAAATGTCCCAATTCTAAATAAATAGAGCTTTCAATAGCTTCGTATTGATAAAGCAGCGCCATGCTCACGTGCTGTTGTTTTTTTTTTTGTATTACTTTACACAAACGTCTCTTGATTGGATACAAAACTGAACCAGTGCTAAGCAAGACCAAATTTATTTAGTACATATTACCCAAGACCAATAAGCTTACTGAAATTGAAAGCAACGAAGAAGCGTTACTTTTCCAGATTTTAGTAAGGCATTGGTACAGAACACAAAAGTGGTGGTCGTGTTCCCGAGTATATTGCAGATTGTTTATAGGGGATATGTGTTCGTTTGGGTAGTGAAATTGTGTCTTTAAGTTTCATCCTCTAAGATGAGGAGTATGCGGTCCTCGGATGAAAGGCTGATTATGTCATGTGTACATTAGAAATGAATGAGTCGGACTTTTGAAAGAATTGGAAGGAGATTTTCCTTCAGAAGATTCTCCAATGCTCAAATTAGATAACGCCCTACTCGAAACAAATATTTAAGAGAGAGAATGAATGATGATGGTTTTATGGTTTGGGTATCACATCTGAAGATCATAATACATGTATGATGTTTGGTTATGGTGGACGAATGATAGATGGACCATTGTGAGAGTGAGGTTGGAACTCTCTCTCAACGAGGGTTAAAGCAGAAAGTTAAGAAGAAAACAAAAGCATATCTCGGTAGGCGTTCCTTTCTGGGAACATTGAACCTATCCTTTATAGTCATGTTACAAGGCCAGGGCGGTATGGTGTTTTCCGAGAAATTCTGATGATTTCTTCCTCCTATGTCCATATTGTTCGTCTATCTCTTCCTATCGGCTACCTTTCTTTCAAAATCTTCGAACTCCTAAAAGGTCTCGCTCCTCTCAAAATCATCGGCCATCTCTCTCTCTTTAAGCCCTCATCTATCTCTCTCTTTAAGTCCACGTCTATCTCTCTCTCTAAGTCCTCAGCTCCCTCCTTCATACCCCTTTTGCCCTGATCTGTCCCGTAGTGCGGTGCATGGGGTGAGCAGGTGGGCTAGTGTAGCACGCCTTCGATTTGGGAAGCTCACCAACTATCCAAGAATAGTATGTTAGGAAGCTGTTGGGCAGGCCTAGACAGGAAAATCATTATCATGGCAGGGTCCACTAATGACGTGTCGACTCTTGAGTGGACACAATAAAAGTGGGCACAACAATTTTTTCTGACTTCTTGACTAATTGGAAATGAGTCGGGCAGTCGACCTCTTCAGTGTTCCTGAAAAATATTCAAGATTCGCTTGATACCTGAGGGTTTTGGCGAAATTGATGCCGCATTAGAAGGATTTACCCCCGACCTTGCCACGCATCCTGGAAGAGTACAGGTCTAGTTGGGTGAGAAAGAGGTTTCTGGAGAAACGGTTAGATTTCTGGAGAAATAGTTAAGTTCCCAGAGATTACACGTTTGCTCAGAATAGGAGGAAGTTGGATTCCCATAAGAACAGTTGGTCGCTCATGGATGAGCATCTCCCAGGAAGGATTTTACTCCTTTCTTCGGGAGGCGTTAGACAAGGAGCCGTCTTTCTTCCCCATTGAGCTTATGAGGAAGTTAGAGCCTTATGTAACCATGAAGATCGACATAAGACAGCGACGCGGTTTAAAACACTTATCCAAGAGCCACTGATGGCCCTTTGAAGGGGTGAAAAGATGGTCCTCGTGCACAGGTCGCTAACACGAGGGAGAGCTGTCGCTTTTATGCAGCATGTGCGAGCCAGCTAATGGCAAAATATGGTGTTTTACCGGAGGCATTTCCCCAACTCCCTTACTGTCAGAATGGTCTTCAGGTTTTGCATACGCAGAAAGTTTGATGGTTTTAGAATCATGCTTAGATCTTACCTGGTGGGAGAGGTCGAGAAGTTTTGGGAAGAGAATTCCCCCTGGAAGGGGAGACCTCAATTCCCAGTGGCGTTTCGGATGTCAAGCGTGTCCCCGGAAAAAAAGCACACTAAGGGTCGCATGGTCTCTGAAGAGAGCTGGCAATAAAGACTCAGAACTCAGCGAGACCGGAATCCCAAATTTCCAAAGAAATGGTGTCCCTGAAGGCAAACATATCCTTAGAGGGAGCACACTAAAGAGTCCTGCAGTCCCAGAAAGAGCTGGCAAAGAGGACTCAGAGGTCTGCGGGACCAGAGTCCAGAATTCTCGGAGGAATGATGCCCCAAAAGGCAAGCAAGTCCACTGGGAGCATACTGTCTGAAATTAGAAGAGTTTTTATGGAAATTCGAACCAAAATAATGATGCCTTGGAGGGTAAGACTATGCAAATGAGGATAGGATGACATAATATGAAAGTGCGACAAGCAATAGAACGGGAATAAAGTGAAGGGATGCAGAGGCCGGATAAAGGTGTCAAATGGGCTAACCAGCCCCAAATGATATGTACCGCAGCGGTCATTCTTCTTCATTGGACTGCAGCGGGTTAATCCGCGCGGGTTATGGTTCACTCCTACGATGCCCATTCCCGCCACGCTAAACAATGTGGGCTATGCGAACTAATCCGCAGGTCTTTAAGTTGCAATTTTTGTATAAAAAATTGCAGGTTTTCACTGTTGGTTCTATTCAGTATCGCCAAGGAACTTACAAAAATTTACTTTTGTAAATAAGTAATTTAGCTTTAAACCATGTGAATCACTGAAACAAAGGGATTAAACTCCACCACATCGAGCATTTGAACTCCATCACAAAGAAATTACATTGCAGAGTGCACTTTTGTTTTATACATAGGTGTGTGAAGTTGGTTAAAACATAACTCATAAACAGAGTTTACTAAAAAATAAAAATTGAAATTCAATCCTAGAACAAACACGACATTGTAAAATGAAAGATCAAATTAAAATCTGAAAGGCAACCTAAAACACAAATCTGGAAAAAAATTTGAAATAATAATCCGAGAAGTAAAATGAAACAAATCCAAGAAGAATAATCAAATATAAATCAGAGAAGCAAGTTTCTTCATCAACATCCATTGTCGTCATCAACAATTGATTTGAAAGAAGGCAATGTCTCGTCTTCATCATCAAATGTTTCATCCTCTTCTATGCATAACAAATAAAGTAATACTAGGTGATCGGCCCGCATTGTGTGCAGACTTTAAAACATTTCAAATGTTTAATATATGATTAATATAGTATATTAAAGATGTTTTATTTGTACATAATTAATTATGTATTAATAATAACATTATATAAAAGTTTAATAATAAAAATAATGATAAATAAAATGAAAAATATTATAGATTTCAATAGAAGTTGAAAAAAAAATATTAACCAAGATTTTAAAATACTTTTTTAGATAAAAAAGTGTAAATATGATAACTAAATAAACTAAAAAATATTAAAACATATAATAATTTATTTAATTTTTATTTTTGGCTCACAAGCATGTGCAGGTATAATTTTTTTTATAAACATAATTAGTTATAATATTTGAGTATTGATTAATTTTCTTATATATTATGTAAACGTTATGTTTTAATACATATACAATTTTAGTGTTTAACAACAATCACACAAATATTTTAAATTGTTTTGTGTCTTTTGGAAATTTTTTATTTTTTTTCTAGCGTTTACAATAACATAGAATTTCAAATGTATAAGTTATACTAAATAATAATTAAATTTTTATAATATGTTTTGGATATTATCTATACTATAGTTACTTTTTTTCCCTTACACAATATAATCTTGTCAATACATATATTTTAAGTATACATTTTTTCTTGACGTATTGCTAATTAAACCAAAATGGATTTTACCATCTTTACTTATCCTAAGAGCGAGTAGATGGTTAGTTCTTTCTAGGAGTATTTTCTTGGCGTGTGAGTGTTCTTTCTAGGAGTTTAGATGGGTTAAGAAACAAAAGGGTTTTTTGTTTACTTTATTGCTAATCATGCACTTAATACTTGATTTCTCTTTGTTGGTCGTCTTTAATGCTAAGCTTAACTTGATCACCTAGGTTAATAGCTCTTAGTCGGCTTGACACGAACGCCACGTGCTAGCTTAGCCCGAACCACCTTCAAAGATGAGACCTTTCCTATCCTAAGGAATTAGCTGTGTAGGAGGTCTCACGGTTCGATGGAGAGGATGTCTCATTCTTGCTTGGTTCATTGTACTTCGTTGCGGAAGCTCGTCTATGGTGGTGAATCTTGCAAAGGATCTAGACCCAAATGCCATGTGTTAGGTAACTTGTAAAGATCTTCTTACCTAGAAATTATCATCAAGACCAAGTCTTGATGTGACTATATGATTCTGCAATGTGTTAATGTCCGAGATCCCCTAATCCACCTTAACCCCTTCTTTTTGTATAAAGCTTTATCCTTTAATTATTTTAGTCATTTTCTCTTGTTTACCTTTTCTTAATATCGCATCTTGCTTAGGTTGTTAGTTTTCGTTCTCTTTGCTCTTGCTTTTGTTAATCACTTAGGTTGTCAGATAACTTCTTTCTCCATTTTGCTTAGCTTACCTAGTTTCATATATTCATAATGCCTCTATCTTGACTCTTGTAGATTTGACAAAGAACCCTAGCTATACTACAATTGGCTAAAAGGGGTTTTAATTGCTAGAAGTAGTAAAATACCTCTTTCAGTACCTGTATGTGGAGGCGGAAAAGCACAAAAAACAATAATCTTATTTCGCAATTTCCAGTTGGTATCCACATAATGTGCTGTCAAACACATGTTTCTCTGGTGAGTGATAGCAGACCATAAATCAGAAGTGAAGCAAATCCTTCCTGAAAGCTGAGCTAACTCTCTCTTTAACTTTGCTACCTCATTCTCATAAAACTTGTAAACATTAGTCGCGGCTGTGTATCAACTAATGAAGTTGACATCTGCATTCAAATATTTCCACACTGATCTAATTTTCTCATACTCAACATATGCATATGGTAGATCATAATTGGATACCACACTTAGCTACCATTTCACGAAAAATGAAATGATCATTTTTCCATGCTTGCAACTTTTGCGCTGGT